TGCAGGGCCAACATGTCCCTGTGAGAGGCACTGGGTGAGGATCCAGGGACCCCAAAAGATGCAGCAGGCTTGTAAAAATTCACTTAGTGTTTGGAAAAGGGCAGAGGAATGTAGCACATAAGCAAATGCACACACACCTATAAATACAAATATAAAAATACACCTTTTTTTTGTATATATACACACTCATATATAAAAAGTATGATTTAAAAAGTGCCTGGTAAATGGGAACATTTTACTTGGTGCTGTGAAAGTTCATCAGCTCCTAACCCTTTTCCACCATTTTAAACCTACCCAAGGCTAGAACCCTAAACAGGCACCTTAAGCACAAGAAACAGTGAAGTCACAGTCACACAAAACACAGGAATTGTAACTTTCCCTGTCCTTTCTCCCTCTGGATGCAGAGGCTGTGAGAGCTGTCCAGGGTACCAGGGCAGTGCCACCCCACTGCCACATCCAAATGCCACAGCCTGGTTCTAGAGACAGAGTTCAGGTGCCTCTGTCCTGCAGGTACTGTCCACAAGCAGGTGGAATTATCAGCCTTAAAAATAGTTTTGTTTTTCTGTGAAGGACTGCTCAGCAAGGCAGGAACCAACAGCTCCATGGCCGTGGCCTGGCTTCACCCCCTACTACAGCAACGAGGACGTCACTGGCTGAGCTGTGGATAAAGAACATTTTATTCCTGCCCTGCTTGAACCCAGCTCGTTTGGAGTTGTATCCCGCCTCCTTCTCCCCAGGTGAGCTGGCAGAGGCAGCAGGGGAAATACACAAACCCCACTTCAATTATTTGCTCATCCTTCAGCAATAAAAGGGCACAGAAAGGCACCACACAAAATGAAATGCTCTTTGGAGCAAAGGAGTATTTTAAATCCAAATATTCTTATGAGAGATTTGATATCTCCTCATCCAATAATTTTGGGAAAGCTGTAATCCTGTCTGGGAGATTTCCCTAACTGCTCCAGCAATAAAGCAAACACTGCACCAGGGCTTTTCAATATTTTTGTTTCTCCCTCTGGTACCTTCTCCCACACTCTGCTCACTTTCCAAAAGCACATTCAAGGCATTCATTTGATTATCTGCTTTTCACTACCTGAAATTTTAGTCTTCAAATGGCTATTTTTTAATGGTTTATTGCTCACAATTAAATTTTTGGAAAGGTAAAAGGCTCTCTTTGGAGGTTCTGCTTTAAAGCACCACAGCATAACACATGCAGTCCTCCACAGTACAACAATCCACTGAATTTCCTTTTAGCAGAACTCCTATGGTTTATATTATATTATTATAGTTTATATTATTCTTCTTTTCACACCCCACAACCCCCATCAGGAGTAACCACACACTGAAAATTTACCCCCAAAAAAGTACTTTTTGCTCTCCAACCTGCATGGATTCTCCCCCAGGACACAATGGCAGCCTCCGTTCTGGCATTGACCCTTCTGGTTGGATCCTCATAGGAATTCCACTTTGGACAAGAAGCGTTTTATTCCTGGAATTCTACAGAGCTGCAAGTTAGCTGAAGACTGTAAGTCAACTGCATGCTGGCTCCCTGTCAGTCAGGGCTAATTCCCACAGATTAGAGAAGGAAATCCGTACAGTTCCCCAGGTCCTAAACCCTACTGCTAAGAGAAGAGAATTTTTTTCCTTCCCAAGTCATCTTTTTGGATTAAAAAAAAAAAAAAAAAAAAAAAAAAAGAATTGTCCATAAATCATTGCTATCTGCACCCAAAGTATCAGAGATGAACCAAGAGCACCAATCCCTGTCTGTGTGTCGGTTCCCAGACCACCCACTCCTGACACTGAGTGTGTTCACCCCGAATAACATCACGATCCCACAGTTATTGTTGTCAGTAACAACCCCACAACCACAAATCCCTCCCCTCTGCTTCCCTGCTGTCCTCAGACAACTGGTCTCCGAGGAATGCTGAGCACTGTTACTCTGAATAGGAGGATTTGAATTACTGTGGAAGACAGAGACAGAAAATTGAGTTCATTCTGTTGTCTTTCACCAGAAAACGAAGACTTTCCCTGGATTCAGAGAAGTATTTGCCCTCCTGATTCCTTGGTGCCTCTAGTTGAGGGCTGTGGGTATCACTTGGCAGGGAGATCCTTTCTCTTCCTTGAACTGAGCTCTTTTAGACTTTCTCCACACCTTCTCCAGTTCATGGAATCACAGAATATTCTGAGCTAGAAGGGATCCACAGGGATCATTCAGTCCAAGCCCTGGCCCTGCACAGACATCCCAGCAATCCCACCCTGTGTGCATTGTCCAGTTCTTCCTCCTATCCAAGCTTCTTTCTCCCTCTGGAGACAGAGAAGTCTTAAATTATCACTGAGAGTTTCCAAGTTAAAGACGATGTCAAAGAAGCGCTCTGTTGTTCAACTCAAATCCCACACAGCACCTGCACACAGCCCATCAGACACAGCTGCCAGGGGATCATGGAATTCCAGGATGGTTTGGGTTGGAAGGGACCTTAAAGCTCATCCAGTCCACAGCCAGGGACACCTTCCACTGTCCCAGGCTGCTCCATGCCCCATCCAACCAAGCCCGGAACACTTCCAGAGACTGATCAGCCACAGTTTACAGGAGAACCCGCAGGAGAGAATTCCCCACTGTGCTCCAAACCCTCTTTTCCTCAGTTCTGGATAAAAGTGAATTTCAGTGCACTTTCATCAGCCTTGCAAAAAAGCCCCAACTGGCACAGCTCTGAGGCTGCTCTTTTGGAGCTCATTGGGATCAAAGGTGGAGGCTTTTGGATCACAGGAACAGGCTGCCCTGGGTAGGGATGAACTCCCTATCCCTGGAAGTGTCCAAGGACCATGTGGAGGTGGCACTTGAGGACATGGGTTAGTGGTGAACACGTGGTTGATGGTTGGACCTGAAGACCCTACAGGTCTTTTCCAACCTTAGCAATCCATGATTTCCCTTTTATTCTCTCCCTTTGAGTGAATGGGAATATTTAGGATGAGAGTCTTAAAATATGACCAGGAGTTCACAGTTGTGCGGTTCTGAGCTTCTCCTAAGACACTTGGAGATTAAATTCTGACAGAGACTTTGCCATCAGTCCAACATGATGGCAGTGCTGCTGTTTTTCCTGACACTAAGTCTTGTACAAAGGTGAGCAGGGAGCCAATAATTACCTTTCCAGTGCCAAGGAGCTTCTTGGACATGGGGCTGGAGCAGATTGCCTGGAGTCAGGAGGAGCAGGAAGGATATAGGAAGGATCCCTTCTTTTCCACAGTGTCCATGGCAAATCCCAGAGCTCTGAATTTCCAGCTTCCCTGCCTCTTTCCTAAAGCTGGCAGGTTTTGCTTCTTAAAATGCTCTGCATAGCTTGTACTTATTCACTATTGGCAAATTCGTGATTGGATGAACGTGGGGCAGCGGGGAAAATGTACAATGTGTATTTAACGTATTTTCCCTCACATTTCTTATCCAGTTGAGGAAGGAAGATTGGAAGCACTCAATGCCTTCACCTTCGCCTCCTGAAGTCATTTCTACATTAATGTGTCATTATGTGATAGACTTTGAGCAAGGGTCAAGCAGCTCTCAGAAGTAGGAACACCGTGCAGTATTGGGGAAGCTAATGGAAACATGTTTAAAGCATATTGAAAAGAACAAAGGTGGATTAAAAATACCTTTAAGTATTCCCCAAATTCATCTTTATGTTGATTCTGGTCTTAGAGGAAATATGATAAAATACTTCAGACGGACCTGAGGGGGCTTTGAGAATTGTACAGAGAAGACTGAAATCATTAACATTCCAGTTTAAAATCTTCTGCAGATAACCCCCCTTATGCCTTTTCCATCTTCATTGCTCTCTCCCACATTTCTAATTTTTATACTGGAATATTCCAGAGCTGAATGAAACGCCCCCAGAGAAAAGCTGCAAGCCCCATTGGTGTTTGGCTGAACCAAGCAAGAGTTAAACCATCTCCAGGTATCCAGGTCTCCATGTATCTGTTGGAATAAGAGGAAGGTGGGTTCTCCTCATACTATGGCCATTTCCTACCTGAAACCTCCATACCTGCAACCCTTACATTGGTTGTGGCAACAGAGTAACTGCTCAGAATTATCCATGCCAGGCGTTTCCAGGTGGGACAGCAAAAACAAGGAAAAAACCTGTGCTCCCCTGGCATGTCCCATCATCCCTGTGCCCTTATTTTTGCTCTCTCTCATATCACCACATGTATGAAGCCACTTCTACTTGCAGAACCACTATAGAGCCCTCTTGAAACCTCTTCTGCACTCTTCTGCTGTAATTGCCAGATCCAAGTGGATACACAGAGAACATCTTTGTAATACATTCTTTTGACTCATATTTATATTTTGTTGTGAAAATAAAACTCAAATCATGGTCCAGATCTCAAAATGCCTTTTCTCTCTCCCTGCTAAATGTTAATTATGATCATGTAAATTGTCTTGATCAAAAGAGCTTTTAAGCTTAATCACTTGCTTTAAGCTTAATCACTTCTTATCCCTATTCTCCCCTTTCTTCCCAACTCTCCTGGTACTTCCCCATCTTGTAAATTCTTCATTCTCCATCCTTTGCATATCTTCACTGAACCTTCAGCTAGTTCCAAAATCCAGTGATGCATCTGTGTTCATCCTTCCTGGCCATCCCCCAGCTTCCCAGCTCCTGCCTTTATTCTCTCCGTGCCTACCTCAGTTCCTACCGTTCCCTTTTCTTCCACTCTGGAGCATCTCCTTGGTGAGCACTCTTCCTTTTCTTCTGTGCTGTTTCCTCCTCATGTACTCGGATGATCCCCTTCTTCTGCTCCCACCTACCTCTCCCTGCCATCCTCTTGGTTGTCCCCACCTCCCTTCAGTGGCTGTTTTGAGAGGCTCCTGGGGGATTCTTCCAGCTGCTGAGGTCACAGTGGTCACATTCTGAATTCCATGGAATCCACTTCTACCCCGTGGCCTAGCCCTCCTTACCTCTCCACCAGTACTCCCCAATATGATCTGCAATAATCAGTTTTCCCCAAACTTTCAGAATTTCCAAACTTAACCCTCATCTGGATGTTAGCTTTCCGACTTCCATGTTTTTCCACAGGCAGATATCCCATATCCTTCAAGGTATGCTGTTCTCACCTATTTCACTGCTGGTGCACTTCCACCTCTTGGGATTCACATCCACTGGGCAGAAGTATCCACGGAGACTGAGCTCCTGCCTCAGGTGTGCCAGCATCTGGAAGCAGCCATGTATTTGACTGAGGGAGATCAGGGATACCACATCCCTTTTTCCAGCACTGAGTCCAGGTGTTTTGTCACAGAGAGCTTTGGCTGCTGGTAGGAGACCCAGATTTACTCCTAGAGTTAACTTCACACTTCCTTCCCCTCTAGTGATCCAGCCTGGATCAGATGGGATGATGGAATAAAAGAAGTAATGCTCACAGTCCAACTGATTCTGGATTGCTCTTGTCCCACCTCCTTTGTCTCCAAATTAACAAAAATAACAGGAGACTAAGGAGTAACCCACTAGCAGTCCATGCCCTGAGCACAAGGTGAGCCCAAGGCTGAAAAGCAGAAACCAAGCGTTGCATTCCCTAAGGCAATGCAGGGATTGCTAAAGGATAGTAGTGGGAAGGCTGCCAGTTCCTAGTACCTATGCAAAGCCACTCCTGAGTATTTGCCCCAGCTAAACCTAAGAGTAACCTTGGAGTAAAGTCAGCCTGGGGCTAAACAGCTATCAGAATAATGCTCTCAAAAAGCAGCTCAAACAAAGGGAATTTTCTAACTGAGGGACTACAATGGCCATGACATGAGCAGGCCAACATCAAACACAGAACAGCAAAACCAGCTCACAGCACAGGAATACTGATGATCCTGCCCATTCCTGGGCTGCTGTGTTCTGTCTGGCAGCAGATTAACAATAAATGGTATTCAGGAGGCTCCAAGTGGGAACCACTGAGACCATTTCGCATTCTCGATGATAATTGTAACAAATCTCAAGTATCAGGTTGAAACCAATCTTTGTGTAATGATACAGCAACTTATTAATGGACAAATACTGAGATTTTGTTCACATTGTCCTGGATTATCACAGCATCCCAGGGTGGGTGAGGCTGGAGGAGCTGAGTGGGCAGCTGGTGGCACCTCCCTGCTCCAGCAGGGCCATCCCAGAGCCCAGGGCACAGCATTGTGTGCACACAGCTCTGCCCCAGCCACAGGGAGGAGAGCCCCCAGGCTCTGTGCACAATGTGCTCAGGGCTGGCACTGCCCAGGGAAGAAGTTGTGCCTCCTGTGCAGGGGGAATTGCTGGGCTCAGGCCCTGCCCGTGGCTCTGGTGCCATTGCTGGGCCCCGGAGCAGAGCCTGGGCCCTGCTCTGCCCCTCCCTGCACACAGGGACAGCCCGGCCTGAGGGCCCCTCTCAGCTGGGGCTCCTCTCCAGCCTGAGCAGCCCCAGCTCCCTCAGCCTTTCCTGGGCACCCAGATGCTCCAGGCCCTTGCTCAGCTCCAGCAGCTCCTGGCCCTGCTGTGCTGAGGCTCCAGAGCTGGACACAGCACCCAGAGGTGCCTCCAGGGCTGCCCCAGGGCCAGGATCCCTCCCTGACCTGCTGCCAGAGCTCCTCTGCTGCCCCAGCTCCCATTGCCCTCCTTGGCCCGGGAGCCTCTGCTGGCCCGGGGACAGCTCGGTGTCCCCCGGGAGCCTCTGCTGGCCCGGGGACAGCTCGGTGTCCCCCAGGTCCTTCCCCACTGAGCTGCTCCAGCAGCTCCCCCCAGCCTGTGCTGGTGCCTGGGGCTGTTCCTGCCCAGCTGCAGGACCTAAATTTCCATTGTTGAGTTTCAAACAGTTCTTCTCTGCCCATCTCTCCAAGCTGTCAAGGCTCTATGAATAATAAATAATAAATCCTCTATTGTTCCACATTCAGAAGTAAAATTTACATCTTAAACTCCAAATCTTCTCTCTCAACCTGTGGGCAAAAATGTCATGTCATGTTTTTGACCCCTCAAGGGAAATTTAGTTGTGAAGTGGGAGCATTAGATCTATACCCAATTATTATTTTCAAGGGAGAACAGCGCTCCATTTTGTGATTTATACATTTGTACTCAGTGCAACTGAACTGCATTAATTCTAAATCTGAATAATATTAGGAAGTGAACATCCTGCTGAGTAGAACACGATAGAAATAAGAAATATAAAGGCAGTGTAAACATACATCCTTTCATTACAGAAGCCTCTATTTCTAAATAGCCACACATTCTTGAGGAGAGGGAGGAAATAATTTATTTATTTAAAAGTAGAGAGAAACTCTTACAGTGGTAAGTTACATATGAACATTTTCTTTGCCAAGTAACACCTGGCTTTGCTTAGGGACATTTGTTTATACTGGGGAGAGAAAATATTCTGGTAATTCAAGAAACACTACAACAACCTCTCCACCTAAATTCACTTTTAGGCTGAGTAATGAAAAATTTCAATGGGAATGGGAACTTTTAGGACAATAAGCCCTGAAGACAGTCCACCAAGACCTGCATCTCATTTTTACTAGAGCTGAACTCGCATTACATCTTGTGTTGTTTTGAGCTTTTAAACTTTACTGTGACAATCCTCATTTCTTCCCTAGAATACAACATGGCAAAGGCTGATTTTCCATCCTGCCACTTTCCCTCCTGGACATTACCTTGGTCAGAACAGCACTTTTAACAGGGAACTTCCCTCTCCCACACACAGCTATGAATCTTTGGACAATTGGTGTCATTAAGAATTTTATCCACAATAAAATAAGGAAAGAAGTGTTTTCTTTCCTTTGCAAGAGCCATCAGCTTTGCCCAGTGGTGATTTGTTGCCTTCCTGCCTCCACCAAAGCCTTTGGCTGTGTTGAATGCATGATTTATATTCCCTATCATCACTTGCTCATAGCTTTCCTGTTCAGTACCTGGACACAGCAGATTTTCCTCCACCGGGCTGTTTCTTGGAATTCTCCATTTCATAAATCAAAGACAGTCAAAATAAAGTCTGAAAGCCAACTTTTTTCTCCCTACAAAATAACAAGTTGTCTTTGGAAAGATTCAAAACTTTTGTCTTCACAACACAAAATACCAGTGGATCAAAACAGGCAGAAATGGTGTCCAGCAAAGTCAAATGAGATCAAAACCAGGGCAAAAAACTTGGAAAAGAGTAAGTTACAGTGAGATTGGGGTGGTGGGAATCCCCACCACCACTCACATTGGAGAGGCTACAGATATGAAATCTCCTTTTTCTCCCCAGCATCTCTATGTATGAACTATTTTTTAGGTTTTAACAGGCAACAAGAATTGGATGATGAAGTCACTCTCACCGCCATCTGCTAAAAAGGAAAGCAAAGAAACCAAGCCTCCCAGAAATCCTTTGTGTTTGCAAAGAAATTCACCCTCCCAGTGTAGGGATTTTGACCCAATCCTCTATTCATTACCATTAGCACCCAACTTCCCATTTGGTCAAAAACACCCCCTTGCAAATCAAAGGTGCCATGTAAAAATAGTCACAGTGACAATAACAAAGCTAATAATGAGGATGGATATCTTTCTAAAGCATGAACAAATGTTGATTTTACTCTAAAATTAACTCGTGAAGAATGGGAGCATTTTTGTAATCCTTGTGTTCATTGTTGGCTTCCTCTGTTGAGCTTTCTGGATGCTATTTCTGAGAGGGAAGAATGAGTCACTGTCTTGTCTTGCAATGAACCCTGGGGTGGAGTTCCATGTCAGCTGGCAGAAAAGGAATTTGGGGGCAGGTGCTTTTTAGGAGACCATGGCAAACACCCAGCAAGTAACAGTGGAGCCTCTATTCTGGGAATAAATACAACATGAGAAACGAAGATGCTTAAGAACAGGACAGACAAGGAGAACTTTGATCAGATGGTGCACCCACAAGTGCAAGGCACCCTGATAACCCTGATTTGAGAGAGGCACAGGAGCGACTCCATGGCTGCTGAGACTTGTTCACTTGGGAATTTTATTTCTCTTTAGCCACTGAACGATCATGTTTTTGAGAAGATCCATATGGCACTGAAAAATTCCTTAAGTGTCTCCATTTCAGAGCTTGTTTGCTTCACCTGCCAGGAAGCCTTAAGAGAGTTGAGTATGTCTGAGCTTTTGGAGTCACCTTCAGCAGAGAATCAGATGTGCTTGAGCTTTTGGGAGAACCTTCCACACCAAGGATGGGTTAAATGGGGGTATCCAGGGCCTAAATCATAGGGAAAATCCCCTACAAACAACTGAGCAGTCTATGCCACAAATATTCATGTAGAGCTCAGACTCCAAGGTACCTTTTATCCTGAAATATCAGCATCCAAGAAAGTTTTTGTGATGTATAATTACTGCTTCTTTCTTGAAAAGCTACGGCTTTGAAGACCTTGCAAACCTCATGCACTAAGGAGCTGTTTATGCCACCTCAGATATTCCTTGTAAGTGGAGCAAGAGCCAGAAATAGCACACAGATATCTCCACGTGCAGAGCTGAATATTCTGCCGCCCTCTTCAGCTCCAGCCAAAACTCAACTCAGCAACAGCTGATCCCAGTGATTTTTTGACCCTCACATTTAGGGCAGCAACTTCTACCCCAGTCCGAGAATTCCACAGCTTTTATAGCCTCCAGCCCAGAGCAAATCCAACACCTGAGGCAGCCCCAGGGCCTCTCACAATTAATGACAGCACCCAAGGGTGCTCCTGATTCATCCCATGTGTTTCTTTAGTCACTTGCACACAGGTGACACTTCTTTGTTCTGAAGTCTAACCAAAATGAGAAGGATGTGGAGGTATTTAGGGCTCTGTATGTTGGAGGCCAGTGAATAAGGATCAGCAGAATAGAAGAGCAGAGTTTCATGGTCCTTGCTTCTCTCCATACCCAGAGCAGTGAGCATTGTATGTCCCACCCAGGCTCAGGAGTTACAGATTCCAGCAGGGCTGATTTCTTCCTTTGCTTTTGTTTGCTGTAAAAGGCTTTAGAAGCCTCAGCACTGATTCCCAAACACACCCAAACCCCTAGGAACCCAGAATTACTGAGAAGCTCCTAGAACAAAGAAACTTCATCTGCCTTTTGGAATATTGTGTTCCCTTTGCCCAGCTCAATCCCAAAATTGCTGCAGGACATGGCAGCCACAAAACCCTTTAACGTGGCCCTTCCTCACCAAGTCATCTGCTGGTGTCCCCTGTTAAGTGATCTAAGCCTGGCCTCAATCTTCTGTTAATGAAAGAGAAGGAGGAGGATACTTTAACTGCTATTATTAGCTCTTAGTACCTGTCCAAAGTAAACAAAACAAAACAGAGCCTTTAATTCCCCAGGCTCCCCAAGGGAATCAGCCTGTGCAAAACAAACTCACAATGGGGGAAGAACTTTGTGATGCCCAGAGATTTCTTGCTTTAAGTGTCTGCATGAGGAACAACCTTCCATCTACATTAAAAAAAATAAAACAAGAAAACAAGCTGTAGTGCTGTAATTTAATCTTTACACTCAGCAAACTGCATGCTAACTGCTGTAATTTTATTTGAAGCTCTAGGATGGTTCTCTGGATTGAATTAGGGTGAGATTGTGGCACCAGTTTAAAAATCAATGTGAAACAGAAGCACCTTTGTGTTGTCCATCATCTTCACGTGATGCAGTGGGTGCTCTCGCTTTAGTCCAGTTCAAATGTTCCAGAATTTGGAATTTCCTGGCAGTCCATCCCTGCAGAGGCACATTCTGCAGGAATGGCCCTGGGGCACAGGAGAGGGCTCCTGCACTTTATCAAAGACACCTCAAGAAGCTGAGATAAGCCTGAGAACTTGAATCCCTACCTTTAAAACACCACTAAAACAAACTCTGGAAGTGTCCCAAATTCCAGAACTCCCATCCCTGAAAATGAACATCGATTTCCTGCTGTGTTTTCATAAATCTGCAAAGAATCTGAGTTTTTTTTTTTTTTTTAGTAATTACTGAAAATTTAGGTCAAATATTTCCTACAAGGTGGCCTCCAATGTTTGATGACTGTAGAAAAGGGTAACATATGCGATTGCTTGATTGCTCCCCTAACAGGATCACGGATAATTAACCATTACAGGATAATTGATAGATACATAAATGGATTAGGTGCTTAAAGTTCAGCCTGTGTCCCTCAGATAAACTGGTTCCATGCACACCTGGGATTTCAGCTGGATTTTCCTCTCATATTCATTATGCAGCCTGACTAATTTAGGGAAAGGGTGATTCATGTCCCAACTAATTGACAAAACATTTTGAAATCTCTATCAATGCAGGTGTTTTGAGATCTAGAGATCGTCTCTAAAGGGAGAAGAAAACAATGCAATGTTAACTTAGGTTTACTTTTTCTTGACTTCTCTTCCAGGGAGTTACCAATCTCCTACTTTGATATTTGTCTAATTAAATAAAGGCCAATGAGAAAATAAGGACCTCTTCCACAATCAATCTTTCAGTCAGGCATTCTTTTCACTTTAGAATATGTTTTTTGAACATAAACCCAGATTTTTATAAACATACTAATGCCTACTGCTTGTAGATTACATTGTGAATGACAAACATCAATAATTAAACTTTGAATCTGGACTAGGGCTGGCTGGATCTTACTGCTTCTGAGTTTTTCATATATTTCAGATTGCTGAAAGCTCCTGAGGGGAAAGGATCATTACTGTTTCCCCACAAATAATTCCTGAAGAGCCCCTGGTACCCCACAAAAGGGAGACTTTATATAAGAACAAGCATAAAAACATTACATTTTTCAAGCTGTCTCAATTTCTCTCATGTCCATATCCAAATTCAGCAATACACTCATCTGTATCCAATGGTTTTGATGTCCTATTGTTCTCAACACTCATTTCCTGCTGCAGCCACATTTCCCAATACCACACTTTAAGTACTGATGGTTTATTGCTATCTTAACCAGCTGCAGATATATTTACAAGACAAGAAACTTGGTTCTCATTTCTTACTAAAGCCATTACAACAGATTGGTGTTGGGTGGATTTGTGCAGCTGAGGCTGCCTTGAAAATAATTTGAAAGGCAAAAAAAAATCTTGGAACAAGACAAGACAAACTGCAAAAATGGGTCTCAAACACTGGTAAAGTCCTCCTTTAAATTATAACTGTATGGTGTGGAGAGGAAATGAATAAATCAGGGTCAGAGAAAAATACTGTAAGAGCATCTTCCTTCCTTCCTTCCTTCCTTCCTTCCTTCCTTCCTTCCTTCCTTCCTTCCTTCCTTCCTTCCTTCCTTCCTTCCTTCCTTCCTTCCTTCCTTCCTTCCTTCCTTCCTTCCTTCCTTCCTTCCTTCCTTCCTTCCTTCCTTCCTCCCTTCCTCCCTTCCTCCCTTCCTCCCTTCCTCCCTTCCTCCCTTCCTCCCTTCCTCCCTTCCTCCCTTCCTCCCTTCCTCCCTTCCTCCCTTCCTCCCTTCCTCCCTTCCTCCCTTCCTCCCTTCCTCCCTTCCTCCCTTCCTCCCTTCCTCCCTTCCTCCCTTCCTCCTTCCCCAAGAGCAAAGTAAATACCATTTCACAAGACACAAACATGGATCATTCCTTGTTTTCCAGTGGGGGAAATTAAACTTGCTGGAATTAAGAGCACAGGAATAAATGATTGGGAAATTCCAAACAGCAGGAGAACCAGGAGATGTCTGTGTGTTAGCTTGCCATGACATGTGAACACTGAGTGCACTCTTCGTAAATCAAGTTCCTTCCATAGCCTTTTATACAAACTTTACCTTAATTTCTACATGTATTTACAGATATTTTAAAAAGCAAATGCAATGGGAGGTTCCCACATCACTTTAGAGTGGTCAGAAAAGAAGACTG